TTTTAGCCACAGACTGCCGTGGCTAACAAGTGTACTGAAATCTGGTATGCTTTTTAGCCACAGACAACCGTGGCTAAAAGTATCGTGAAATCTGATATGCTTTTTAGCCACAGACCGCCGTAGCTAAAAGTATCGTGAAATCTGATGTGCTGTTTAGCCACAGACCGCCGTGGCTAAAAAGTATACTGAAATCTGGTATGCTTTTTAGCCACAGACCCCCTTGGCTAAAAATATAGCTAAATCTGAAATGCTTTTTAGCCACAGACAGCCGTGGCTAAAAGTATCGTAAAATCTGACATGCTTTTTTGCCACAGACTGCCGTGGCTAAAAAGTGTACTGAAATCTGGTATGCTTGTTAGCCACAGACAGCCGTGGCTAAAAGTATCGTGAAATCTGACATGCTTTTTAGCCACAGACCGCCCAAACTAAAAGTATCGTGAAATCTGATATGCTGTTTAGCCACAGACCGCCGTTGCTAAAAAGTATACTGAAATCTGGTATGCTTTTTAGCCACAGACTGCCGTGGCTAAAAAGTGTACTGAAATCTGGTATGCTTTTTAGCCACAGACAGCCGTGGCTAAAAGTATCGTAAAATCTGACATGCTTTTTAGCCACAGACTGCCGTGGCTAACAAGTGTACTGAAATCTGGTATGCTTTTTAGCCACAGACAACCGTGGCTAAAAGTATCGTGAAATCTGATATGCTTTTTAGCCACAGACCGCCGTAGCTAAAAGTATCGTGAAATCTGATGTGCTGTTTAGCCACAGACCGCCGTGGCTAAAAAGTATACTGAAATCTGGTATGCTTTTTAGCCACAGACCCCCTTGGCTAAAAATATAGCTAAATCTGAAATGCTTTTTAGCCACAGACAGCCGTGGCTAAAAGTATCGTAAAATCTGACATGCTTTTTTGCCACAGACTGCCGTGGCTAAAAAGTGTACTGAAATCTGGTATGCTTGTTAGCCACAGACAGCCGTGGCTAAAAGTATCGTGAAATCTGACATGCTTTTTAGCCACAGACCGCCCAAACTAAAAGTATCGTGAAATCTGATATGCTGTTTAGCCACAGACCGCCGTTGCTAAAAAGTATACTGAAATCTGGTATGCTTTTTAGCCACAGACTGCCGTGGCTAAAAAGTGTACTGAAATCTGGTATGCTTTTTAGCCACAGACAGCCGTGGCTAAAAGTATCGTAAAATCTGACATGCTTTTTAGCCACAGACTGCCGTGGCTAACAAGTGTACTGAAATCTGGTATGCTTTTTAGCCACAGACAACCGTGGCTAAAAGTATCGTGAAATCTGATATGCTTTTTAGCCACAGACCGCCGTAGCTAAAAGTATCGTGAAATCTGATGTGCTGTTTAGCCACAGACCGCCGTGGCTAAAAAGTATACTGAAATCTGGTATGCTTTTTAGCCACAAACCGCCGTGGCTAAAAGTATCGTGAAATCTGATATGCTGTTTAGCCACAGACCGCCGTGGCTAAAAGTATAGTGAAATCTGATATGCTTTTTAGCCACAGACCGCCGTAGCTAAAAGTATCGTGAAATCTGATATGCTGTTTAGCCACAGACAGCCGTGGCTAAAAATATAGCTAAATCTGATACATACCGCCGTGGCTAAAAAGTGTACTGAAATCTGATATCCTTTTTAGCCAAAGACAGCTTGTATGCTGTCATATATGCTTGTATTAGCGTGCTTATGAGAATCTTTCTCATAAGCACGCTCATATATACTTGTATTAGCGTGCTTATGAGAATCCCTCTCATAAGCATGCTCATATATGCTTGTACTAGTTTACCCACAGGGTAGTGAATGCTGCCTTTGTATAGCATTGTTCCCAAATCTTTAATAGTTCAATTAATTAAAGAATAAGGCTATGTGCACACGGGCGTCGCTTTCCAGCGTTTTCAAAAACGTTTTTGTTCTTTTGAATCGTTTTGACGCCCTGTACACACAATCCAAAGGGAAGTATTTCTAATATATTAAATAAACTACCGCTTCGGTCGTAAATTGATAGTGTTTGCATCCGTTTTAGCCGCGTGAAAACACAGATGAAAACGCTCGAAAACGTTACCGTGTGCACATAGTCTGAGAGTAAGAATTATTTGTGATGAATTGGAATCATCCAAAAGTTATACATATAGTGAAATTTATTATGCTAGTTTTTAGCCACAGACCGCCGTGGCTAACTCGGTATAGTGAAATCTATTATGCTTTAGTAGCCACAGACCGCCGTGGCTAAAAGTATAGTGAAATCTGTTATGCTTTTCAGCCACAGACCGCCGTGGCTAAAAGTATAATGAAAATATTATGCTGTACGTTTAGCCAGAGACTGCCGTGGCTAAAATATAGTGAAATTTGATATGCTTTTTAGCCAAAGACCGCTGTGGCGATAAGTATAGTGAAATCTATTATGCTTTTTGGCCACAGACCGCCATGGCTAAAAGTATAGTGAAATCTGATATGCTTTTTAGCCACAGACCGTCGTGGCACAAAAGTATAGTGAGGAATCTGGCCGCCGAGACTATTTAACTGGCAGGTCAAAATCCGGTATCCTTTATAGCCACAAACCGCCGTGTCTGTAATGTATGTAGAAACTGGGCATCTTTAGGCACGAAGCGCCTTGGGTATAATGTGTATCGAAATCCGGTATCCTTTATAGTCTCAAATCGCCGTTGGTATGAAATATGTGATAATACGCTTTCCACTAAAGCCATAAATCGGGTGTTGATGGCGTAAGTATCTATGGGCGCAAGTATGCCGAAATCGGGTGTCGTAAAGTTAATTCATGGGTTAGTAGTTTTCTTGTTTGTACATCGTTTTTGGTGACCAATAAATTAAGAGATTGATTTTGTTATAAAAATGTTAAAACTTTGGAAGTCCACCACCCGATCTTGCAAAGCTTAGCGTCATACTAAACCAGCAAATTTTGCAGTGAATTCTTGATTCAATTTGACGCGACAATAAGTAGCGAACAGGCGACAGAAGCATAACAAAAGTCGCGATTGATATCTACCTCTGACGAACTAATCCAAATCCTAATCTTACTCTAATCCAAAACAGGCAAGACTTTTAATTAATCCTAACCTTAAATCTTAATCCAAAGCTAATCCTGGTTGACTGATGATTACATTAACATGAAGTACTTTGGTCATGTCGTGGAAATTCAAAAACAAAAATTCTTGATGAGAAAACTCGCGCGCACGCGCACTTCGACGTCAACAAAGGCCAGAAAACTGGAGAATTGATTATTGGCAATAATAGTGCCCGAAATGACCAATAATTTAGACAATCAAGCTATTCTACGGAGAGTTGGACGATTTTTTGGTGAGCAGCAACCCATATGCCCTAATAGTATCCTACTAAATGCCTCGAAAACTACAACATTCGGGCGAACGGTCGCATCAAATGTACGACTTCTTTCCTGCAAGGTGCCCCTTATGATATCACGTAAACACGCGTCGGTAACATTTCAAGATGAAAAATGGACGATTATAGACCATAATGTGAGTGCATTGCTACTGATTGTGTTGGATTTTAGGAAATTTTTGTTTTTGGTGTTGAATTACAACGGGAAAAGGCTCAAATTTCTGCAATTGGGCGGGAAATATTTTGTTAGTGTATCTTGTAGCTAAAGTTGTATCACAGAATAGACTACACAAAAGCCTGACTTCTTGGTTTTTACTATGATTTTCCAATAATTTTGGCATAACTGTAATTCATCATCAAAATGCTGACGCCATTGGCGTAGCCAGTGCACGTTTGAGAGCCATTCACCCCCCTGAAAATATTTAAAATGGCGGACGTCCAGGGGAGAATGCCTCTCATAAGTGCACTGACAAGGCCCATGGCATTAGCATTTTGATGATGAATCATGGCGTGGTATTGGTAATTACTTGAGTCGACCTTCTGTATGCAGTATGTCTTTATTCTGTGTTTGTATGCCCTACTGGTACGTAAACAGTTGATATGAATAACACTTTTAATTGGTTACCTTGTAACATGTCACAGTGCAGAGTACACAATGTATATGATGTATGACTTTTGTACAAAATACAATATAAAGGAAATTTTACATTTTACCCAGTTGACATTAATGATCACTGAATACACATATGCAATAAAAGTTATTGAATAATTACACACCATCAGACACTTGCATTACTTGCTACATTACTTACTAGAAAACCTACATATTGTCAGGCTGTCTCTGAAAGTTGCTATTGATAACTGTGGGTGCCCTGTGGCCACATCTCTGAGGACTCATTTCACATCCAGATATTAGGGCCCACGAAGCATGGTTACCTGTCGGCAAAATCTGCATGCATGTTACCTATTTCTTAACAATTTTTATGACCATGCCTCAACCACACCCGGTTTGGTGGAAAAAGTAAGGCCTTTACCCACCCACCCAATTATTACACTCGCTATGCTCCTTGCCACCAGAAATCTCTCAACACCTCAGCATACAATGTTGCCCTAAATTGACCATAGAGGTGCTTAGGTCACACAACCATCTAATCATTAGGTATATGCAATGCATTGTGGGATACATGGGTCAAATATTCATTGTTTGACTGTGACATGACATAATGACTTCTAAGGTCAATTCCTGGCCAGATTTGCCTTTGATAATTATTTATACTGTATATATTTCTTAAGAGTCTAAATGGGGTGTTCTTGAATGGACAGAAACTGCCGCCCAACATATCACAGGAAATAAAGCCTGGGGATCGCATCTGTTTTGGCGTAGCCATAGAAAACAATGTTCATGAATTTGATTATTCCTTTGAAATGGCACCTTGTATGAAAAAACGTAGATTGGAGTTTGGAGAAGGGAATGAGAAAGAACCAAAGGTTCGAAAAATACTGAAGAAATGTGATGATGGGAACAGCGAAAATGTACCTGGACCAAGTGGGGAAAATTTGAAGGTTTGTCATGAAGCTCTTCCCCTTGGAATGGAATTTAATTGAGCTGCAATGTTACCCACTTTGTTTTGTTATCACTCTGACTGTAAAATGCCAGACTTTTGTATTTATCCATAGGGTAGTGAAATAGAGTTGATGTATCATAACACATCATTTGTATCTTGTTCTCTTTATAATTTATGTTTTTGTTTTACATTTCTTAAAATTGTGTTCTTGTGAAGGATTATAATGTTACTCTTCAAGGAAAACTGTTGGGTATGGCTGAGTTTACCAGACTATCCGCTGATACCTCTTGTTAGTCCACATACTAGCTGCAATGCACTCTTCATTGTTAACTTTTATTTATACTGGATTTCTATCAGTTCTTAACTGTTCTCCCTATGGTCTGGTAGGGGCTACCTAGTGTTACTACATGAGGAAACCAGCCTGGGGCCGGTTGTATCAAGCCTGTTTAACTTAAACTGTGGTTAAGCTCAAAATAGAAAGCAAGTCTATAGATTCATTCAACAACCAAACTAAAAGTTTTGAACCTTAATAGAATGATAATGTTTACAACTACATATTCATTGCAGAATATTTAAGTTGACTGATTCACGAGAGAGAAAAGAGTGTTATTTAATTTTGACTTATCCACCGTTTAATTAAGCGAAACGGGCTTGATATAATCGGACCGGCCCAGAACTAAAAATGATTTTTTAACCTCTCAGTGGTCCTATAAAGGTCATTTTTTATTGTAATTTCAGTGTTACTACAAGAGGAAACAGGTGTAACTGGGAAAAAGTGCGGCATTTGGTATACAAGTCAATGTAGAAACACGCTTCTAACATGCAATTGTGTATAACTATAAGTTGTTGTTTAGGAGAATTCTAAAACGACAGCTTGTAAAATTCAAGAATCAGAAAAAAAGATTGAAGGTTTAAACCATTTACTTGCGGAAAAAGAGAGAGCATATCAAAGCCAACTGGAACAGAAAGAGAAAGACCTTGCTGAACAATTGCTTCAGCAGAAAGAGGGGTTAGAGCGGGAAAAAGAGGAACAGGAGAAGCACTTGATGGGATTGCTGCAGGATAAGCTAAGAGACAAAGAGAGGGATCTCAGTGATCAATTAGAACAACAGAAAGCAATTCTGCTGGCTGAAAAAGAAAAAGTGGAAAATAATTTAATGGAAGAAATGAACAGGAAAATGGAAGAGAAGGATAAGGAATTGACAACGCAACTAGAAGCACAACGAAATTGCTTGGAAAATACCTTACAACATAAAGTTGCTGAACAAATACGTTTACAGGTAAAACCAGTTTTACAGGTAGGCCTAAAACCTGTTTCCATTTGGTCGTTGTTGTTACAATCATGTCAAGGTGAACAATGTGCAGGGTTCGTAGCGGTCTTTGAAATCCTTGAAAGTCTTTAAATTTGAATGCAGGTCTTTAAGGTCTTTGAAAAGTCTTTGATGTGTGTGAAAAAGCGAAGAAAGTCTTTAAAAGTCTTTAAATTCTTTAGTGATTATTTGATTATACCATTTTCTAACTAATAAAATAGATTGATTGAAGCAAAATTTGACGAAAAAGTGCATTTTAGGATGTGATTTGACGGGACTAATTACCTGGTAAAAATGGTGCTTATACATCGCAATTTTTCGACACCTGATTGCTCACAAAGGTCTTTGAAAAGTCTTTGACAATAGGCAGAAAAAATCTTTGAAAGTCTTTGAAATTTTTTGGTCTTGGAGACTACGAACCTTGTCATTGTACAGTGTTGCCATGTCTGTAATAAATTGATGCCCAACCGGGAAAAAGTGCGGCATCTGGTATACAAGTCAATGTAGAAACACGCTTCTAACATGCAATTGTGTGTAACTATAAGTTGTTGTTTAGGAGAATTCTAAAAAGACAGCTTGTAAAATTCAAGAATCAGAAAAAAAGATTGAAGGTCTAAACCATTTACTTGCGGAAAAAGAGAGAGCATATCAAAGCCAACTGGAACAGAAAGAGAAAAACCTTGCTGAACAATTGCTTCAGCAGAAAGAGGGGTTAGAGCGGGAAAAAGAGGAACAGGAGAAGCACTTGATGGGATTGCTGCAAGATAAGCTAAAAGACAAAGAGAGGGATCTCAGTGATCAATTAGAACAACAGAAAGCAATTCTGCTGGCTGAAAAAGAAAAAGTGGAAAATAATTTAATGGAAGAAATGAACAGGAAAATGGAAGAGAAGGATAAAGAACTGACAACGCAACTAGAAACACAACGAAATTGCTTGGAAAATATCTTACAACATAAAGTTGCTGAACAAATACGTTTACAGGTAAAACCAGTTTTACAGGTAGGCCTAAAACCTGTTTCCATTTGGTCGTTGTTGTTGCAATCATGTCAAGGTGAACAATGTGCAGGGTTCGTAGCGGTCTTTGAAATCCTTGAAAGTCTTTAAATTTGAATGCAGGTCTTTAAGGTCTTTGAAAAGTCTTTGATGTGTGTGAAAAAGCGAAGAAAGTCTTTAAAAGTCTTTAAATTCTTTAGTGAGTATTTGATTATACGATTTTCTAACTAATAAAATAGATTGATTGAAGCAAAATTTGACGAAAAAGTGCATTTTAGGATGTGATTTGACGGGACTAATTACCTGGTAAAAATGGTGTTTATATATACATCGCAATTTTTTGACACCTGATTGCTCCCAAAGGTCTTTGAAAAGTCTTTGACAATAGGCAGAAAAAATCTTTGAAAGTCTTTGAAATTTTTTGGTCTTGGAGACTACGAACCTTGTCATTGTACAGTGTTGCCATGTCAGTCTGTAATAAATTGATGCCCACAGTCGTCAGCCCTTCTCGTAGCCATAGGAACATCTTCCTCTTTCCAGGTATAGTTCAGACACAAACCACGACTGGCTTATTGTAGAATACTACATTCACTGGGTTCACGTTTGAGATATCTTTTTCAGGTAGTTCAGACGCAAGTTCAGCTTATTGTAGAATCACTGGGTCTCCACCTTAATTGGGATATCTTTTTCGGGTAGATTAGACACAAACCACAGCAGCTCAGTTATTGTGGAATACTACCTACACTTGACCACCACGTTTACAATTAAAAAACTCATTTTTACAGGAAGAACTAACAAGAAACAAAATAGAGCGAGAAAAACTAGAGGGCTTGCAAGAAAACGAGAAAAAACTGGAAGGAAATTTAGAATTTCTTAGAAAGGAATTGCTGGCGAAACAGGTACAATTAGAGAAACAGGAAGAAATAACTAGAAAAGCTGACGAAATGGCGAAAAAAGGTTTAGTCGAACAGATGGAGGACGAATTCACTTGTATAATCTGTCAGGAGTTGTTCATCCAAGCAACGACCTTAGCTTGTTCTCATTCGTTTTGTGATTATTGTTTAAAATCGTGGCTTAAAAAGAAAATGACATGTCCCATATGTAGAACGGACATTAAAGGAACTTTCGTCAGGTCTAGAGTGCTGGACAGTGCAGTTGAGAAAATAGTGGAAACGATGGATGAGGAGACGAAGACACGAAGACAGGCAGTCTCTGAAGAAAGGAAAAGGAAAGGGATAGGTAGGAATTTCCAGGCACTAGAATTTTGAATTCCTAGGAGGCTTTTTGAAAGACGTATGTGGCTATATTCTGTAATGAAGGTACCACTCACGAGGGGTTTTGAAATTCAGACCTTCTGAACTGGCATTTCCAGCCATTTTGGGGAGCTGTTTTGGAGATTTTTTTATATTATCCAAATATTTAACGAAGAATATCGTGTAAAATGTGTTATCTAAAAACAGGAAACCTTGGCCTTGACATTTCTAGAGTAATGAGGAAATATTTTGGGTTGTAATTTCGAGAAACAACTGGCGGTTGTCTACGCTGCCTGCTTGTATTGGGAACCCTGCTTTGGGCAATAAGATAGTTCGAAAGTTAGTTAAGCAGTTGTAAAGACAAATAGAACAGCTATTTGCATTATAGACTAAATTTTGGTCTAGACAAACATTTCATCACAGCTTGAAAGAGCATCACAAAATTAGTAATATTCCAAAGTTTCGTTGCGAAATGTTGTAAAATGCGGATAATATAGCCCTGCAAAATTTGCAATTTTCAGTCATTTTGTATTAAAAACGGGAAATTGATGCCCCAACACCCGATTGGACTGTCAATTTCCCATTTGTAATACAATATGACTGAAAAACGGCAAACTTCGCAAGGCTATATTATCCGAATTTTACAACATTTCGCAACGAAACTTTGGAATGTTACTAATTTTGTGATGCTCTTTGAACCTCTTTCAAGCTGTGATGAAATTGTTGTCCAAACTTGTCTAGAACAAAATTTAGTCTATCATGCAAATGGTCCATTAAATCATGCATAATTTCACTCCTGTCAAAACTATTCTCAATCTGCAGAAGTAACCATTATCAATGACAGTCCTCCTGGCGTTATTCCCGTGGTCGGTAACCAAGGCAACCCTATTGTTGTTCGTAACGATGACGTGCAATTCATGGAGCGTCGTGTACCGCCCATATTCATTCCACGTGCAATGTTGCGCCCTGCGGGTGCCCAGCTGGAAGGTCGGGCCCAAGCTGTCCCGGTTAACCCAGTACGGAGGAGACGGCCGCATGGAAACAACGGGAATCCTTACAGAGCACAGAATAATGATCATTGTTTTAACTGTGGTAAGTCACGATATACAACCAATGTCGAAACTGTCCTTTGCTTTCGAAGTGTGATTTTGTGGGGAAACAATGTTTCCTGCCTTACCTACCTTCGGGAAACAGGGCTAGCCCACCTTCAGGAAACAGGGCTAGCCCACCTTCAGGAAACAGGGCTAGGAAACAATGTTACTACTTTTCTCACCTTCGAGAAAGATGATCAAGAAACCATGTTTCCTGGTTTGTCCACCTTCGAGAAACATGGCTAGTAACAATATTTCCTGGTTTGCCCATCTTCGGAAAACTTGGCTTACCGGTATAGGAAACCATATTTCCTGGTTTGCCCATCTTCGAGAAACTTGGCTAGAATGCCATATTTCCTGGTTTGCCCATCTTGGGGAAGCATAGCATAATTTGCCCAGGACTTAACATTTTTTACGTGTTTTAGGTATGAGAGGTCATTGGTCCCGAGCTTGTCCATTCAGGCAATGACAGAAATTTTACCTTAAACTATTTTTAGATACTCTGGGATGTAAATAATAGTATATTTGGGTTTATAAATAACGAATATATGTACATTCTAACTAGATATATCTAAAATTTGTATATTCTAACAACGTTTAGAAACACTTTTGTTGGTTTAGATTTAAAAAAATTATATATGTACACAGAAAAATTTTATAAAAACAAAGTTTTTACTACAAACATTTTGCGTATTTGATTAATGAAGATTTTTGATATAAATTTCCGATTGGTGTTAAAATAGATACATATGCATTATATTATTCCACATTTTGAGTAGCCTGCATGGCAGGCGGTCCCTAAAAACGGGCAAGCCTGGGAAAGACCACATTTTGTGGCAGAACAGCCACACACTGAGCAAAACATTTTGGTAAATGTCCTTTGACAGTTTGGCTCTCAACCGCTCTCAACAAACACTGGGTTCACAGCGCTACAAGAATGGCGGGATCTCCAACCACGAGTTTAAAAAATTAACTTTATTTCACCCGTGACTTTTTATTTTGTCATGATAGAGTTAATTTCGTTTTGCCGTGAGTTAGCTTTATTTTCCCGTGAGTTTCAATTTTGTTTTGACGTTGCAGTTAATTTTATTTTGCCGTGGCTCAGTTTACTTTCGCTGTCACACTTGAGGGTTACCCAAAACTCTTCCAAGCTTGATGGGATTAACGGATCACTTCAATTAGCCAATCAGATTAAGAGCTTTTGTGGATCGTGATCTGATTGGTTAAAATGAAGGCGGACCAGAAAGTAGACGGGTACCTACAAAATGGCGAAATAGCTGGTATCCTGGCGTGAAATTTAAACTTTTAATAAAACTATAGAGTTTAAATGTTTAATTTAGGTTTTTAATCGTGTTTTTAAATTTGATATGATATAAACAAGTAGTAAAGATAGATTTTTAGGTTTTTAAGTTAGATAAAAAACACACTGGTAACTTTTTTAGACTTTATAATTTTAGTCGCAATTCAATTGATCGGTAAATTAGAAGATCTGTTTTATATCGAATGGTAAATTAGAAATAAAATTTTTAAAAAGAAAAGTGCCTCATCAGTCCATACTTCCCGACTCTGCTAGCCCGTATCGGTCAAGTCCGTCTCGTGCTAGCCGCTAGAACGCCGTATGTTAACGTTTAAGCTAGATTTCGGCTAAACTCAACGCTATCGTCAGAGGCGAGTGAATAGGTGGCTTACCAATCGGTATCGAACGAACTACGGGGGAGGGTGCCGGCGGCCCCCAGACCATTATGCCTGGCACCCTTTTCGCAAGATCCTATGATCGGTAACTACCACACACAAGTAATAGTAACATTTCGGTATATAAGTACGTAACAGTTGTCTGGTGTGCTGCATGTGGGACGCTTTGGCTCGGCGTTTACCAAACCTTTGAAACAAACGCATGCGCGATAACTTGACTCTCGGGTAAACGTAGCGCATGCGTGGGCATCATCCAATCAGGACGCAGGAAAATTTCGACTGGTCCCGCGAGTTCGAGACACGTGCGAGACGTCAAAAAATGATTTGTTTTCAAAATAAATTCAGATGAAAATATATATTATTCACATGTATTTGCTTGTCGAAGGTTAAAATTTACTTTGCCTATAGGTTTGCCTGGAGGTTAAAATAACTTTTCCTATCCAAGACGATGTATCGACTGGAAAAGATCAAAGCGAAGTGAAATCTGAACCAAGAGGTTGCGCCGTCGCGCCGCCGTTGGTTTCTACTTTCTAGTACTGACCAATGGACGTACTGACACGAAAGGTACAAAGCTTTTAAAATATTTTGTACTGTTTTGTTTCCTTTTTTGACGATAGTTGATGCGAAATATTCTTCTCTAAAGCTTGCTTCAATCGTCAAAAGAGGAAAGTTCTTTATAGTTCGGCTTGATTAGAATTTTGTGTTTATGAATCCTATAATAATTATGCACATAGAGTATATTCTTGCATGCATACAGAATACACCCTTCTGGAAAGTTTCTTAATACGTTGGCTATAAAGCCTAACATCAATCACAAAAAGGATGGCCAAGGTGTTGTCAGTACTTTCCTGAATCGTGTTCAACCGTGTTTATAATTATATTGTATGATTCAGCTAGGATAATTATATGAAACGTTGGATAGTAATATACCATAATTCTATTTCAGAACCATACTCAGATATACGAAAAACTAGATTAATATAAAACTAATATACCCAGAGCTGCCAAGTCTCACGGTTTACCTGTGAGTCTCCAGGTTTTCGCGCTGACCTCCAGGTCTCATGGCGGGTCTTGAAAATCTCACGGAATTGCATTAAAATGGTCCTTTATGCATGGATTCTTCATCTATGCTCTGAAAAAAATACAATTTGCGGAACGAAAGAAAATCTGTACGTATTTGTAAAATGATACTCTTGTTATAAAATTTAGTAGCGTGGCTATTCAAGTAAACTTAGATTTTGCGATCTTGAAGTATAACATAATCTAAATGTGAATTATGTGTGTGTGCGGGCTTATTTTTTATTACACATGCATATATGGCCATCTGGTTCCCCGAGCATGCCCGGTCTACAATAATATAGTCAACAATTTATACATAATTTGATTAAAATTTTTCAGTGTTAAATTAAATTGTTGTTTGTACTACTCTGTCTGGCTATATGATCAGTATGTATTAAATAACATGGGGGGGGGGAGGGGTATGAACTACAAACTAAAGATCCCAACAACCTCCAGGTTTTTAACCATCTGAACTTGGCAGCTCTGATATACCGTAAACCTTAGAATAAAACCCTCCTTCTCCCCGGTATTGGCCCCCTGTGTATAAGCCCACTATATTCACTAACATGCAGGCCATTCCAAATATAAGTGGAGGCTCCATGTCTTAAAGCCTGTTGGTTTATTAGCACAGCGACAGTGATTCCAACAGCTCAGACAAGTGACAATAATTAGATTATGGTATTGTAATGTATAGGTTATACACTGTATGTTTGTATATCGATCATTTCATTACAACCATGTAACCCTGACGTTTGCAATTGGTATAAAGTCAGACTGGAAGAACTCAGTTCCATGACATGTGCAACATTTCACTCAAATAACGATGCATATTACAGGAATTAAACCGGGAAATCAAACCACAGGTGGATGGTATATATGCACTAAATATGCTATAGATACTATGGAATATTAATTGTTCTTTCAGATGTGTATTAACAAGAGTTGACATACACATGCTGGTGTGAAACGAAATGATGGAAAACAGCTCTGCATGGAGCTTCTAAAAAGGTGATGTAGCATTGTGGCTTTGAATTTAGTTAATATGTTCCCTAAGTTATAGCCTATCAGTCAATCTGTCCATTGCTGTTCACCACCCCCTGCTTCTGACGGCCTTGAGGAAAATATCCAACTGAGGACTTGTTGTGTTGACCAAGTGATAAGACAGCAAAACCGAGGTTGGATATTTTCCTTTACTGCTTGAATGGTTGAGATCCGTAAGTTTTTTATTATAATAATATGACTTTTCTTTGGTAGGTTAATTAATTAAGAACATTTTCCCCAACAAATTTAATGAGCCCAAGAGCTTGAATGATGCTGTGAAGACATAACTACCACAGCAAAAATAATAAATTTATTTGAGATCATTCAACAAGTGCTTATAGTTTTTGTCATCCAAGAGATAGCTCAAGACACTGAAGCATAGTTTGTTACTCCTTCAAAAATATTCTTCAGACTGTGAAGTGACAAGCAAATTTATTGAAGGTCTGGCCAAGTATTGATTGACAATGTTTAGTTTTGTTTTTCTTTCACTGTTTGATTGTTCAGTGTCAGATTGATCTGGTAGTGGTGGCGTCTTCATGTTTCTTGCCAAAATGCAGATATCTTGGTGTTCTTGTATAAACAACTACAAAAATTGGGAATTTTGTTAGCTGAACTTTCTTTATTTACAGTATACACTGGATAGTTCTGTCAGTTCTAAGTTCTCCCTAAAGGTCCAGTAAGGGCATTAAGAGGAAAATTTAATCTAACCTAACTTGTAGCATGGATCCTGTCAGCGATGTTTGGTAAAGTTATATAATTTACCTTCTTGTACCAAGGTGAAATTATTAATTGATAGGTATTAATTTTATAACCTGAATAACAGAGAGCATGTCAAGGATATCAAGACTGACCAATGGTGGACAATGTTTTCTGACGCATTTCTCTGCAAGATTTAGTACAGCTAGTTTCACCTGACCCAGTGTTGTTCGCTATATTAATAAAGTGAGAAAATGTTAACTACAGTCTGTTCACAATTATTAAAGTAGTAACCTTGTATTTGAAGAGAATAAGTTGGAGAGATGTGAATTAAATTTACTTGCTCGATTAAGTGTCAACATCAATCATTTTACCTGTTGTCGGTAAATTTCTTCGCTAGTCTGAAGCACATGTTCAAGATGAGCGTTGCTATGAGTTATATCTTCTAACCGGTTCTGTAACTTTGCAATATCACTGTTGTCTATCTGGAAACAGTATAATAATAATAATAAACGACTTCAAACAGACTCAAGAACTGATTTTCACCACACAAGCCTCCTAGTGCTAATGGGGCACAGAAGTGAGTACGCCGACTATTGAGAAACACACAAAATACTGAACACACTTACTAGTAACTGCTGATTATACAGTTGTTTAGTATTCTGAATAATTTGTTGGTAAGCTTCTACCTAATATGTGATAAGTAATGTGATAATTAGTAATGATAAATATAATGATAATTAGTAATAGTTTTATTGATAATGAGTGATGATAATAAGTGATGATGATAATTAACGATAGTGATAATGAGTGATGATGATCATTAATGATAGTAATGATAATTGATTAATGATAATAATTAAGTGATGATGATAATTAGTGATTATAATGAGTGATGATGATAATTAGTGATGGTTTGATTATAATTGGCCCAGTGAGTGATGATGCGTCTATTTCAGGATGATTCGTCTATATTTCAGGATAATCAGCCCCGTAGTTATTCATCATAATTACAAACCTCATCCGTCTTCCTGCCCAATGTAGCAGAAAGTACTTCAAAAGTAGAAAAGAGAGTTTTATGTCTCGCCATAATTCCCAGTAGTACCGAGTCATTCGTATTGTCGAAATAATCTAAAAGAAAAATATTGTATTGGCCATAAGCCGCTTTTGGATTCATAAAGTTTGAGTTTTTAACAACTATTTTGCGCACGTGGAACAGCGCGATAATTTTTTACCTCCTGGGGTAATGTCAACGACTTTCATCAAATACTTCTGATACACTGAGAACGTTTCAACTTTCTTTTGCAGATGTTTAAACCTTTAAGATAGAAAGCAAGAAAAGCATTTTACAGTAATTCCTCAAAACGTCGTGACCTACTAAGCTAGCTATTTTTCTTTCCTGGTGTTTCATATTAGGCAAAAAGACTTTACTAGGTTTATACTAGCAAAAAGAGACATTATTTCTCAGTGTCAAATTAAAGGAAATATTACCGTTGTCTAAGTTTTCTTAGTTCTTGTGTGTGAATTTGCAACTCTTTTGTTTTCTGTTCTTTCAGTCTTTTCTCATTCTGGTATTTCTCCAAGGCACGTCTTCTTTTTACTTCTGTCTCTTTGATGAACTTGTCAAATTTATTCACTCTTTCTCCGATCTAGCAGTTAATGGTACAAAAATATCAACTTATGGTTAAGGACGTGACCCTATAGTATCGCTCATAAATACCAAACCTAACAAAAACCATGGTTAAAATGCGTTAGATCAACCGTACTCGTGACGGCTCGCAGCAATTAACCACAGTCCTACTGAACTGAACTGCAACCTAACGGCAGTACCACTGCTGCGGCAAACAGCACTTGAAGCACAATTAAACAGCGAGCAAACACCATTCGCAGTGGCATGTGCTCGTATAGAAATTCGTATAAGATTTTTTGGCCAAAACGCGATGAATTCATTAGGAAATTGTATAGAATCCCAACAGTAGTTAACATGAGACGTCTGATACTTTCAGGATTTAATTGATCACATTGACCTTCAATTTTGTTCACATATGATTTTGAAGACAGAACGCGTGTTCATATATGTGCACTGTGAAACTTTGTAATCCCAACAACCTTCTAGCCTTTCAACTTAATTTACAGACCGAGTTCTTCCAACCTGTTGTTGTCTTTTCCTTAACATCTCTTCCTTACTGCTGCATGCCAACATCTTTTCATGATATTCCTCTCTTTTCTTTTGTAGTTCTTCCTGAAGCTTATCAGCCTCGCTTGCTTGCTTGATGAGGAGTGTTGATTGTAACGTCTTAATACTGCTTGACAGAAGCTTGCTGGAAGACTAACAAACGTACATCAGATTAGCTATAGTGCTAGTGTTTGTTTTGTAAGCTCAGGAAAACTCCAGAGCCCATGCAGAGCTTGAACCTGTAACGTCCAGAGTTCACTGAGATTGCTAGCAGCTGGTTAGTTTTGCAGGGTAAGTACGGATTGAATTTTGCTATTTTCATGTTGTAACAGACAATAGAACCTTCAAACTTGGCAACTCCTAACCCTACTGCAACATCTTCAACCTGAAAAACTTATCAGCCCGATCAGTTGGGCTAATGAATGAGAGGCTGGGGTTGTTTGGGTATAATATAAGCCATGCATGCCATGGGGATGTTTAAATGCTGTTTATTATTGATGCAGATGGCTGCATGGGCATGCAGTGTTGACCCAAGCAGTGATCGCGAGTGCGTGGCCAGAGTATGCCCGTTCGCAGGTTAAGTATTGGGCATGCCCAGTACCTAACCTGCGAACGGGCATACTTTGGGTACGAGATTGTCGTTCCCTCGAGTTTCTTGGTACTCTATGCCTCTAACCGGGGGGCTGTTCTGAAAAGTTGAAATCGGGGGGGGGGGGAGTACACGCTGCTGCCTAAAATTATTAACTCTGTGTGAATCAGTGTTTAAAATTGACGTGAAATCACACAACTGAGATAATTTGGTTCAATACACAATTTTGAAACTTTTTGGTTAGGAATGATTCTTATTCATTTTTCAAATAAGCTATAAAGACTTCAAACTAAATTATGCAGCAAATGAACATTTTTCAAATAATACTACGTGTATACACAATTTTTCAACAACCAAATAATGTGACAGATCAGAATTTATACCATTATTAGTGGTGTAGAATGTAGAATACTTCAGTGTTACAACGTAATGAGCAAGGACGTAATTAAGAACCAATTAAAACACGTAATTCAATAGAATGTAACTAAATTAATCAACAGAGTGTTTCTCATTCTCGAAAATTCGAACAAATCGTACACTATTCTACTAAACTATCAAACTTTAAATTTGTTTCTCTTTATCTACGTTATACAAGCAGCAATTGATAAGCATTTAAAACTGCAATCATGGTTCATGGAAATGATACGTTCGTGCGCGTTGATCGCTTTCACATATGCTCGTGAAAATTAGTTTTACATTGATTTAAACACATACTTCATCAATTGCATGTTTCTTGATAAAATCAGCCTTATCATCGTCAAAATCTTCCTGATCTCTGAAAAGTTTAAACAAGAGACAAGATCAATCAAGGTCAAACTTTATATCGTCCACTTTTGTAAAAGTATTCTTCCTACCTTAACTGTGTCACAAAAACATTTCTCTTTTGCGCCCGTAGGTCAAACGTATGACTAGTCATTGTCAAGTTTTATTGTGAAACAACAATGTTTAATTCGTGTATTTTACCAAACAATCAGAACGATAATCACTTCGGCTTTCTTCGGCTTTAGAATTTGTAAACAATTCTAATTAAATGTAAACAGTTGCCGTGGGAACGCATACCAACGCACGTGCTTTGAGCCCCGCTCGGTCTACCTTGCAGATTATGCTAATCGGAGTAATGCACGACTTATGGCAATCATAGTCAACCATGTCTTTGTTCTGTCTTTTAATTCATTAATTTATTTTATGTATTTATTTATTATTATTTATTACATATTCATACGACACTTTCAGTATTAAAGTCGTGTGATTGAATAAGTCTAATTTTGAGTTTCAAGTCTTGTCGGTGACAAAGGGAAACACTTGAAAAATGGCTATCATGCATACAGGGGCCGGTTGTTCAAAGCTGGGTTAGCTTTCACCCTGGGTTAACCTAAAATTCAAAGCAAACTTCCTTACAGCTTGTCTATAAATTTGGAAATATTTCTTCAGAGATGTTGTCTGGATCGACAGGAGTTTATTACTTCTCTGAAGTATTGAAATAAACAGACGTGCAGAAACACACAAACTAAAACAGCAGGTTAAATTTTAACCCAGAGTTAGCGCTAACCCACTTTTGAACAACCGGCCCCAGGTGGCTAACACTAGGGAGTTTACGATCTGCGACGCGGCCGGCTCAACGACGCGGTCTAAATTTTAGCTCAAGAATGAGCGCTAAGCAATTCGATTACTGTAATAAATATTTTACTCCTTCAAATAACCTTACAAAATGCTACGTTCGGGTATAAAGCGATGCAATGTTTGCTGTAATTTCGACTTTTAGTATCACCTCTTGTGTCGCATCAAGCTTTCGCGTTGCCTGAAAGACGTAATAATCTTTTTTAACGTTGTGTTGAGAATGACAACGCGGTTGACAATACTCATGGGACCACGAATTATTGACAGTTTTTGTCTTGCATGACAAATTTCTTTGTAAGTTCTTTGTAGGTTTGCATGGCGATAAAACACATATATAATACTATTGTTTGTGGAAACATCAAATTTCTTTGTCATTGAAAGCGCGTCGTCGAGCCGGCCGCGTCGTAGATCGTAAACTCCCTACTACCCGCATAACTGGCCACTGATCTTACAGCCTTACATCACAAAGTGGATAAAGCGACTGAAATGTTTCTAAATCTTTGTCCGTCACTCCTTCGACATCAACAACGCCAAGCGAGCACAGATTGGGTAAAATTTCGGCGATGTCCATCAACTGAATTGCATTTTGAACAAGTCCTGAGAATGATACATCGAGCAGTCTTAATTCTTGACAACGCTTCAAACACTTCATTAAGCCCTCGAAAGAAATCTGCGTGCATGCTTTTAAAGTCAGGGACGTTAGTAGCACGGAATTGTTCACAAGAATCGCGAGCCCTCGGTCAGTAATTGCGCAAGAGTTGAACTCGAGTGAGCACAAAAACGGGCCGGAAAGACAAGATATGATGCTTGCAGTGATGTCAGTCAAATTTTCTGGAATTTTCACACCGAGGCTTAATTCTTCCAGGAATTTACAATGCCCTATTAAATGAAACACCCCGTTATCAGTGACATCAGCATATTCGAGCTTCAAACTTCGTATCTTTGGCAGGTATGTCGCAACAGCACGTAGTGTTTCATCGCTCACCTGACTCTCTCCCAAATGCAGGTGCTCCAACAACCCGTTTTCAACCAAAGCCTTGATGCCTTGATCTCCAACCGCGGGGCAACTGTCAATCTCCAGATTTTCAAGCAAAGGGCAGCCGCGAGCTACCTCACGGAACGAAGAATCAGATGCTTCGACATTATCATAAATTAAAACTAAATGAGTTAAGCTCGGGCAGGATTTCCCAAGTGCTTCCATCATGCAATCGTCCAGCAAAATCCCGCCATCTTTCACCAAAACCTCTTCTGGAGTTTCGTAAACTTTAAGTTTCCTCAAAGATTTACAATTCCTTAGTCCTCCGAAAGTCTCGACCGTACACGCTTGAGTGCTGGTTTCGAGAGATGTCAAACTAGGGTTATTTTGAATAAGAATGTTTAGACTTTGATCTGTAATCTTTGTCTTCGCAATTCCAAGTTTTTTGAGTTTCGTACACCGCCGAGCTATGCTCAGCATTCCTTTATCAGTGATTTTAATACAGCCACAAAGTTGTAGTTTCTTCAAATGCGGGCAATGGATCGAAATAAATTCAAGTAAGTCGTCTGTCAAATTTCGACATTCGACTAAATAAAGCTTATTCACATTTCTACTAAATGCCGTCAGCTTCATTAAAGTGCTGTCCACAACATTATATCTGAAGTGAAAAGGAATACATACGTCCCGCCACATACTCGCGTCGAAACAGACTCGATGCCAACGCGAATTCACAATGGAAAGGCGAACGAGAAAAACCTTTGGTAAATAAGATAAAATTTGAGCTAGCACTTCGTCGGGAAGGCTTTCAAACAAAATCTTGGTAGGATGAACATTTTCGCAGATTTTCACCGTTCGTACACGTTTGGCCATCCTTGAGATCTTATCTTGTCACCGGTTTGTGGTCGTGTGCCGAGTCAAGCATCCTCAACTCAATTTTATTGTGGACGATGCGACACATACACTGACATGTGTTCGAATGTCGACAGCAATTAACATAAGAAAACACTTTGTCTCAAAGACTTTAGCGTTGAAACAATTGCGGTTACTTGGCGTTATTGCTTCTGATTTTTCGCTCTACTTCCTCTGTGTATAATTAAAGATATAAATAAAACAAATCAGCGTAAAAATGCGAAGTATTTTAGATTTGGATGAAGTGAAGGGTTACTTTCGGCTAGTCGAAGATAATATAAAGGATATTCTTTCTAAAATGTATGCTAAGACATTTTCATGATCATAGACTAGTTTTGTGGATGTTAGTTTTTCATGCAGAATAAATGACTTAGCATTTCTTTTCTAATCAGTTTATAAACGGGTGCTTTATTATACTTTTCTTTCTTTAAAACGAGAAAAAACCCAGTTCTTTCAGGATTAATTTGCAACAAGTTCTCGCTATGAATGTCACAATTATTAAATCGAATTCAAATTTTCTTTCAAAATCGAAATAAATTTTCCATGCGGCTTTCTGGGTGTGTTTAAATATATTTATGAAGAGTTAGCAATCACGTCTCAGAGCAGGTTGTTCTTTAGTTTGTTAGCATAAGCGCAGGTGGTATTATTGACTCCCACTATACTGCAGAGATCAGAAAACAAAAGTGAGAGAGCAGACGCACGGGTGTGTTATTCAAATCGTCGAGAGTTTTTGCAGGTTGTGCTTCGTCATACTTTACATATACGGACATCCGGTCACACAGTTTCTATTCTGGGTGGTGAATTAAACCAGGAAAGTACCTGTAAACGTTGCTGAAACACGCTCATTTAGAACAGAACGTTAAATTAGATAACTTTAAACATACGAAGTATAAGAAAAGTAAATTAAGAAATTGAATGTTATGTATGTATATTTCCAGTTCTCCATGTCTAAGCCCATGCTATTTTAGTTTTTACAAGAGGAAACCAGAGCTAGGTCTGAAAGGAAGCGCCATGTTATATCAGAAAACTCATGTACTCATAAAATCATAGATCAGATTACCTATGCAACTGCCAGCAACTTGATGATAACAAGATGATAACAACATTTTACAAACTCGTAACAACTGGAAACAAACAGTATACAAGCATGCACGTACGTCATCACATCATGATATCGACTAAATCAAGCGAGAATGTGTTTACTGTGAACCTAAAATAATTTTGAGCATGTACAACCTGTACGACATGATGATATTAAGTTGTTCATTGTACATTTGGCAGTGCATGACAAACTGTTAATCATGCTTAATGCCCCATAGCTTGTTCATCACCAGCCGTATTTGTACACTTTGTGTGCCTTTTGGAAAAAAATTCATTTGAAAGTTAGACAACAGAAAATGTTTTACACGGATACTAAAACAACAGGGAAATACATAATTTCAACTTTGAATTTCTTATATTTTAAGCCAAAGAACTAATTACTCACAAGTCCGTTTGGTCAGCCCATCATAAAAACGTTGTTGAATATTGCACTAGTGTTATATATAGAAATAAAGGAATTATGTGTTATATGAAACCGGCTAGAAGAACTGTGCATTTAGATAGATTTAACACTCAGAATTAAGACTGAATTTCCATTGCAAATTAATTAATGACAGACAGCTTTTAAGATTTTAACAAAGATAGATTTAGTGTATAGCAGGTATTCTAAAGAAACATTAAATTATAAATATTCAAAATTTTCTGTTTTATGAAAACACATCTTGTTTTAATACCTATCCAATCAGAATTGGCACAGAATCAACGTGTGAATAGGTCTTTATGTCTGCCGTATGTTCTGAAGAGGCAACCCACTGACTTTAGATGATCTCATGAGATACTCGGGTATAATTATCATACAGGCTATATGATAATATGCACCTTGCATTTTTGATATTCTTTTTAAATCCATTTTTTGTATCTCAGAAAACGTGGACTCTCTCGTTTTCAAGGTCAAACTGACTTGAGGATGATGAAGGTCAAACTTAACAACGTTCAAGGGTTGAACACATGCATTATAGCATTACACGTAATAAACTAGATATTGTCCAACGCCAGTTGATTCAGTAGGACCCTCGACCAGAGTCTGACTCAACGTCTGAGATACATTGTAAGGTTAAAGGTTGTTTGGTAGTGGCTTTGTGCATTTTCAGCATTTCACTTCTGTGATCACAGTTCCATTCCTACAAAATGCGGATGTCTGAGTTATAATTTTTTCGCCTTAGCCACATGTGACATAAGAGAGTTTCAAGTATGACAAACACCACGAGTTTCCTCGTGGTCCTTCAGTTACCTCCAGCTGTAGTAACTCTTAACCAATAAGAGACTGCTCTTACTGGAGAACAGTTTAGAACTGATCTATTCCAGATCTTTACTGAGCACAATGTGTCACGTTTTCATTCAATGAAACAATGACGTAATTGCGGTTTCTTCATGCAGTTTCTATAGTTTAGGTTTGAAAAACCATTTGCTTAACACACAAAAGACTGTGTATACTGGTTGTAAACAGAGGGTTCTGGCAGTATCATTCTTTGTGTATTCATATAGCTTTTACTATATAGTTTTATAGACCGGTAGACAAAGGAGTCGCCTGATACATATGTATGAATACTACATACAACTCCAGTTACATGTATAGATCACTAATGAAGATACATTGACCAATACGTAGGTAGCTGCAGGCTCATATTGGTTACTGGAACTATTTCTATATATTTTATTGGAAAGCTGTATCAGTTCTACGGAAGAACTTTTCTCATGCACATACGAAACGAAAATAGAATCAAAGAACTGCTTATATGCAGGAAAGCAAATTGAATGCCCAGTTGCTAAAAGCAAAGCTCGTTCATCATTACGATAGCGCATAGCCATAGGCGGGGAGAATCAAAGGGGCAGTGTCACCGATTTTGACCCTCGCAAATCTTAGTGATCTTGCACAAAACCCAAAAAGAATAGCTGTAAGCACAACATAAAACAATAACAAATATAAAAAAAACATGTACAGAAGTCTGGATGGTTGAGATTAAGCGAGGATTGAGATGGATATGTAAATGACATCTTGCCTAATTGTTGGCAGACACTTTTCAAGTTTAGGTCAATCAGTTTGTATGAAAACGTCGTCTTACATGTTGATTGGAAGTTCAAAGTTGTTTAATATGATTCGTATATCATAACTGAACCTATATATAATGTTTATTTTCCAATTCGCAGGTCAGACTTTGAATAAAAGTCATTTTTGGTCAAACTGAATTGGTGACACTGCTCCTTTAAGGCCCGTTTACATGTACTTGCAGGCTGCAGCTTTTAGTGCGATTTTCTTCTTCTGACGCATGGGAACGAGTAGATGAATTATGAATGTTCTGAGTAGATGTGCTGCCCTCATCTGAACCATAGAACACTCATAACTCATCCACTCCTTCACATCCATCAGAAGAAGAAAATCGCATCTCATATCACAGCAAAAATTGCAAGTGTGAACGGGCCTTTGGAGTGGAAAACTAGTTAATTCAGATAAAACTAAGTTAAAAATTTTATTACATGTAATCGAGTAAACATGACAAACAGACTGAAAACAATTAAATTAGTTTAAAGCGCGGTGTTTGTTAGTCAAGAAAACCACACGCTTGAGTAAGCTGTTTATGCAAGCGTTAAGAAACCACCGGCCGGAAACATCTCACAATCTGATTGGTTAAAATATCCGCAGCCATCCAATAAGAATTGAGTATTAACGGTCGAAACATCGGAATGCTTAAATCAGTGGGCAATCTAGTAAAGTACACAAATCTTTGTACGCAAATTTGTACATAAATCTTTATTAATTTAAACCGTGATTTTTTATCAGACAGTATATATATACATTATGTTGAATTGAATAATTTCTCGACATGGAAAAGGAGCTCATTTGTATGGTTTGTGAAAAACCATTTCAAACTCCAGTGATTCTGCCTTGCACGCATCACGCTTGTCTATACTGCGCTGAAACTTTGATTTCATACTCTGATGTGATGGGTAAAGCAACCGAGGAGAACTGCGAGGCTGAACAGAACGAGGGCCTTGGCAGTGGAAAGGTAGCTATGGTCTCTTGCCCCGCTTGCGAGAAGAAAATATGCATTGGCAACTGTGATGTGTATTCTTTCCCAAAGGATAAAATTTTAGAAAAACTTGTGAATCGATCTTTTGGAGCAACTTCCGATATCCTTTGCCAAATGTGTGATGGTATTCCCCCAAATGCCGGGACTATATCATGCGAGCAGTGCGATATAACCTATTGCGAGACGTGTTGTAGAACTTATCACCCTCGTCGAGGGCCTCTGGCCTCGCATATGTTAGTATCACCTTCTAGTCTTGGTAAAGCGAGACAAGATGTGATGAAATGCAGCCATCATCGAGAGGAGAATATCAGTATGTATTGCGTTAAGTGCAAGACTACCGTCTGTTATCTTTGCGTGGATAGAGGCAAACATCGCAAGCATGATGTCAAAGCACTTGGCGAAATGTTCAAGGAACAGAAGGTTAGCCATAGAATCTTGAATGATCTGTGCCATTGTAGGTAGTCCCAATAATAACAAAACTTCGGTTGATAGGAACGCCACTATACCTGAAAAATACAAGGAGAATTTCGACGTTTCGAGCGAAGACCCGGCTTCTAACTTCTCGACCTTCGCCTTCGCTCGAAACGTCGAAGTTCTCCTTGTATTTTTCTGGTAGTGGCATCCCTATCAACCGAAGTTTAGTGAGGATGAGTTTAGAAAATCTTCTTAAGATAACCTAAGGCGAATCAAGAAAAAGAAAGCTAACTTCTCCAACTATTAAACATCTTACTATGGCACTCCAATCTTCTTATGCCCAGCTTTAGAGCGAGGTTGAATTATTGCAGTTAAACTTTTTTTTAAAAAATGCTAGATTGTGCAGGTTTGTTACAACATCGAGCATTGTCTTAGTTGCTGGAAATTCGAATGAACACGTCAAAATAAACAACATAGAACTCATGCAAGTATGTTTAGCAGACCAATTTGCAAAGAATTTCACAAAGCTACTAACTGACCGCAAAAGTTAATTGAAAATTTGTACAACTTAAATCCTTATAAAAGTACACGTGAAACATGACACAAATTATTTACGCTATTCTGTACCATATAGCAGAAACTATTCTCTACAACAGTTGGCTTTAATATGGCCTGGGTATGTGAAACAAATACCTTATATACTGTCATAGCTGATTAGTAATAAGACAAATAAGGCAGGTGTACTCGGTTTGTTTTGAACAGATGATTCATTCTCAAATCATGTGGCTATCTATTGTCGGCTCTGCACATTGTTGTATGTACATTTAGTCATGAACCGCAACATTGTCGCCAAAACACACAATAAACGCACCGCCCACGAATTGTTTGCAAAGTGTAGCGTTGTTGTTTCCGATCCCTTAGCGTGAACACGCTGCCCTTAGCGTGAACACGCTGTGAAAACGTAAAGAGTAAAACAAAAATCTCAATAATTGATAATGTTTGTCTTAACTCTGTGGAGATGTTTGTCTTCACTTTACGTGTGCCCTTAGATAAATAACTTGTTGTTTGAAATATACTTAATTTGTAAACGCGAATTATTCTGATTTAATGCTAGAATAATCTATACAGACAATACTATTATTGTCTTTTTAATCCCAAACAACAAAAGCTGATTTGTACAGGCTTAGCCAGTACTGAAGAAAAATTGAAACGACTCGGAAAAACATATTAATGAAATAGACTGGACTAGAGAATATATGTTCGCATTTAAAAACGTATTGTCCACAAAACGTGTGCACAATTTATAGTAACAGCTTATTTTCATTGAATCATTATCATGCTACGGAAAAAATAGAAAGAATACATGCAAACATAGAAATATCCATCCCCCACAATCCAAACTATTGTACGTAGAACTCTGCTCTGTAGAGGTTCAAAAACATGCTTGTCAAAGGCGTCAAAAGCAACGGGTGGAATTGAAAGGAAATAACAACATATACATACATTGATCGAGTATTGATCGACCTACGTCCTGTTGCCAGTTATATATAGCAATTCGTCCTGTTGCCTATATAGCAATTCTTCTTTCTTTGTTTTTGTAATTCTGTATGATCTAGTAATGTTTATCTGTACAGTATATTCTTTCTAAAATCCCGCCCCTCATGGAAATCAGCTCTGAGTTGTTGAGGCCAGCGTGCATAAATAAATTTTTGTATATATGTATGCATGTACGTTTATAGAACCAAGACTATCTACCTTTTTTATTTATACTGGATGGATAGCTCTGAAGGGAAATTATAATCAACTATAATCAGACAACGTGTATATTTGAGGCCCTTGCCCGCTGATAGAGGTGAAAGAGCCATGCACGTGCTCAGGACTGTCATACCAACACTTTAGGGATGCGTACCTTATATAGACCTGACATGCGCAATGGAAACCCTTTACATATCAGGAAATTAATTTGTTTAGGTGGAACTCACAGGAAACCTAAAACATTTGTGCGAGAAAGAGAAAGAACTACAAAGTTTTATTGGAAAATTAAATGAGAAACGTGTGGACATTCAGGTAAATTCTCTATTGCTCGTTTGCAATCGACGCCATCTTGGTTGATTTTCGCGGCAACTAAAAATGTATATTCTTCATTCTTTGTCGTATTGTGCCAGAAATCGTAAACTATCCATAATACAGTAAGATGTTTTCAAAACAAACCAAAAATATTAACTAGTAACGATGTAAACGACTGCACAACACTTTAAAATCAACCAAGATGGCGTCATGTGCAAGTAAAGAATTCCAGCCTATCGTTTGAAAGTGGAAAAGCTCTGCTACAATACCGTGGAGACTCAAACACGTCACTAAGGCTACGTTGACACAAAACCGGATAGCTTTCTGCAGCGGCGCGAAAAAACACCTATCTGATACGGAATGTACAACTTTCAGAAGCTGAGCGAAACAACGTCTCTCTGTTGCAATAATTTCTCTGAAAATAACGTTCCTAAAACAGTAAAAGGTGTTTTTCACGTCGCTACGAAAAGCTATCCGCTACAGTGTCAACGTAGCCTTAGTCATCATCAGTGACTCATGGACAACATAGGGATACTACAGAAGGAAATTGGTATACCTGGAGAAAACCTGCGGAGTTGAACTGGAAGCACTGTTCTGACATGCGACGATGGTGATAGCTAGATAGTATACTTCAAAATAAGGTTTCCGTTTTAATAGCGTAGAAAAAACTATCCTAACGCAAAACTAAACCCTAACCCTAATACTAACCCTCACTCTAACCCTAACCTAACCCTAACCTAAACCCTAACCTAACCCTAACTTATTTTAGTTATTTTAAAAATCGATATAAAAACGGAAACCTTATTTTGGAGTATACTATCTAGCAATTGCCATGCGACGATAGGATAAGTTCTGTTCTGAGGATAAGTCTTATAATCAGACAATTGCATATTTCAAGAATGACACATTAACTAACCGCTCAACATTCCACAAAAATCGACTCCGTTCTCCTCTTAGGAAAATGGTTTGGATTTCGAAGCAAGCGTTGTGGCTCAATGCGACTCCTTGATAAGATTTATCGAAGGAAAGAAAGTAGAGCTTCTCCAAGTTGTCACAACGGAAATAAACAAGAAAATCAAGAATTTGAATAATCAAATCAAAGACTGTGAAGGAAAAGCGTACGAAGCAAAAGGATTGACTGAGTACACCATGGAAGTCTTAAGAGAAGTCGATCCTTCCTCCTTTCTTTTGGTAAGAGTATGAAGATACACGTATAATAACAATTCTCCCAACAGTTGAAGGGGATGGAAGGGGGTAGAAGCCGGTGGAAGGGGTGAAATGGGATGGAAGGGGGGTGGGGCGGAAGGAGGCAGAAAAAGGTCGGGTGGTCTCCAATATTTTCATAGATTCTGAAAGATAACGAGGTTTCTTAAACCATAAAAGACTGATATATATTTCAATAAAAACAGGTTTGAAGACTGAAATTTGCAGGAACAAAATTGCACCCTCTATAGAGATGTGATTTTCGTACAACGACGCAACACAAACACTAAAATGCAATACTATACAACAGCCTGTTCACGAAAGGTCTCCGTATATATAATAAGTCCAACATGCATATACCGTTGTTCAACCAATCCTATACAGTACAGCTTTCTAGAATATAGCTGCCTCCTTCATGTATAAGCCCGTGGGAAATGCTTACGACTGAATTTAAACCCTGCCAAGCTTAGATTTGTATACGTTTCGTTATTATTTAGTACCTCAATCGCAATGTAAATTCCAATGCATTTTTTTGTTCGCACCACTAGGTTTCAAACTCTGTGAGCCAAAGGTAAGTTCAACTTTTACACACAATTTTACACGAGGCAGAGAAGTACAAAATTTACATTTTGATCCAAAATTTTCTGCGACGTAAAGAAGTTGAGATGTGAGATCTTCGTTTCAGAGTGCTGACATCACAACGAGACTGGTATAAAGACTTCACAATGGAACCATCCACATCAAGCGACATCAATCTGACGTTAGATTTGACTGGAATACACGAAGCGTTGCAAGATATGAATTTTTATGAGTTGAAAGGTTAGACAATAAAAGATTATTATTGATTCTTGCCTCTGGGGAAAACGTGCCAGGTATTATATAGATTCTCGGTTGACTGACCCCCCTCCTCCCCATACTATGGTACAAGTTGGTAGATGGGTGGAGGAGGTACAGTGTTTATAGTCCACGTGCTTTTCACGTTTGTGACACAAGTCCGATCCTTGCAATAAATTAGATGCAGTTGTAACACCAATATTTTACCTCAGTTAAATGCGCAGGCCGCAGGTATCTCTTGATATTCCGGTTAGCCCCTATAGAGGAGAAACCTCGAGAGAAAACAGTTTAGAACTGATTAAGCTATGCTATGCAGTATAAACAAAGGTATACGACAGTTTGGTTTAGTTTAAATTAGTTTGATGGACAAAATGGCCATCGTCACTAAGATTACCTTCGTGTTTCGTTTGTGCAAGCTATGTCATTTTTGTCTTATAAAAATTTTTGAATCAATTTAGCTCCACCGGCACCGGAATTTTTACCAGACCAATGTTCAGTGCTGGACGACAAGATGATCTTAACATGGCGACCAGTAAAACACGGGAACCCACAAGGCTTTGTGGTGGAAATTGATGATGGCTCTGGCGGGAATTTTACAGAAGTGTACAGCGGAAATAAAACAAGATGTACCGTCAGTGGTCTGCAGTTTGATTCCACGTACAGAGCGAGGGTTAGGGCGTACAGTAGTGCTGGTGAAAGTCAGTCCAGCGACGTCGTGTACCTAGGAACACCAGATGGTAAGAAACTCCTTTGTTGGTTTCTATGGCGATAAGTGTTATTGATTTAATATTGTTTCAAGGTAATTCGACCCAAAACTTATACTGTTCTAAATTGGTTTCCCTAAAGGTCCATTGAGGACCATCATCAAATGGTCTTAATACAGGAGGAAACTGGAACACCAACTAAATTCCTGACAAAGGGCCTTCGCTCGAAACGTCGTCGTTCTGCTTATGTTTGTCATGCAGGTAGTTGCAGCTTTTTCCCAATCCACAGCTGTCTTATTATCATCACTACACTGGCACCCACCGTTCGACATGTGATAAGCACCGTGCCAACAATCGCCTGTATTCTAAAAGCTCACTCACACTCACAGAGTGGAGGTTCAATCTGAGCTTGCGTTGAGTGTCAATGCTGTTTTAATAGCTGGAGGGTGAGTATGACACTAGCTATTCAAAAACAGCACTGACACTCAAGGGAAGCTCAGATTGAACCTCCACTCTTTGAGTGTGAGCTTTTAGAATACATGTGTAAATGACTTGAATTATTATGACTTCGTCTTGTTGAAGAAATAGAAAGATGAGTCATAATATTTATCTAAACGGACTAAGCAATCTTCTTCCATTTTCAGTTGCCTGTTTCACATTCGACCCAGAGACCGCTCCCTCAGGAGTCGTCCTGACACACGAAAACGATACAGTCAGCTGTAACTGCAGCGAAAACCGCGTGGTCCTGGGAAACATTGGCTTCTCAAAGGGAATACATTATTGGGAAATCACAATCGACAAGTATACGAGCAATCCCGATCCCGCGTTCGGCGTTGCCCGAGCGGATACCGAGAAGAACACGATCCTGGGCAAAGACACCAAAGCTTGGTCGATGTATGCTGACGCGAGCCGAAGTTGGTTTCGACACAATAACGCGCATTTTCAACGCCACCTTGGCGGGATTGAGACGGGGGCTGTCGTAGGAGTGTTACTAGATGTGAATTCTTTTAGCTTGACTTTCTTCCTCAATGATGAAGAGAGAGGGTCCATACAATTGCCAAGCAGTGATGAGATGTTTTATCCTGCCGTCAGTTTGAATAGGAATGTACAGTTATCATTGCAATCTGGTTTGCGACCTCCTGATTGTTCTACGGCATAAGGAAGACGAAACCATAGACACACATTAGCTTTCCTGATCCTTGCTACAGAAGAAAATTAACATGATGTTAACATTAATTGAAACTTAAGAGAAAATATGAACAATTGCGACCCTGATTGAGACCACCTCACATTTCAACGGCGTTGAAAATGAGACACCAGCCTATAGTCCCTGCCATTCTGAAGCTAGCACATCCATTTTCAACGATTTCGTCTGGTGGTCAACCGCGTTGATGTCCTGCTTAAGAGAAAATATGAATAGTTGCGACCACTTCAAAGTTCAACGGCGTTGACACATTGCGCATTACTTGGATGAGACTAAAACTGAACTGTAGTCACAACTTAGCTGACGTCACAAGCTAACCTGAGCAGGAATGAGAGAAAACGAGAGTTTTGGACGAAGCTCGTCCTGGTTTGTCGACAACGGAGTACCATACAGCAACGTCGACGTGCATACGAGGCAGACTCGTGGCTGGAATTGGAGATGAACCTTCCGTTCCAGGATTTTTCTGGCGGTCATACCGCGTTGCTGACGCGCTCATTGCTATCCTGCATTCCTCTGCGTTAAAACAACCAAATTAGACGAAATCATCGTAGTTTCATCGTTAATCATTGAATTAATAATTTTACTTGAAAATTGAGTATTTTACTAAAATATAGAAGGTATATATATGACTACAATTTATATCATTATTAGTTGCAAGCAGTTCCAACAGTAGCCATCCAATATGGGTTTCAGCTACTGTCTTCATAATACAACTAGATTGTAAATTACACATTTTAAAAATTCAAACTTGTTTATGGAAGTCTATACATTCTTAACTACGACTACGCTGGGTCTGAATTTGATTGCAAAAAGTTTAATACAAAATGTACCGAAGGTCTATCGGTTGAAGTTTTACTTTGATAAACCAAAACTAGCTTTCCAGTGCTATCAATGATAAAATCTCCTCCAAGTTGATGCGGATCGTCTTCATCTAACATAGAAAGTAGTTTTCGTCCAGCTAATTTCTGCTCTGCGTAATAAACCAATGAGGATATAGCCCACACTTTAGAGACTGACCTTTTCAAGCCTAGAGCCACGTAAAGGCGACGGTCTGCATCCAGTAACATTGGGAACTCACATTTTGTATCCTTCTTCCAAGCTATTGCTTTCTCCTGGAAGAAAAATTGGAAAGTCTGCAATATTCAATAGTGAACATGTGGGTTGAGAACATGCAAACAAACAAACAAACAAACAAACAAACAAACAAACAAACAAACAAACAAACAAACAAACAAACAAACAAACAAACAAACAAACAAACAAACAAACAAACAAACAAACAAACAAACCGACTGTGTGACTGACTAGCCCCACTGATAACATACTACTGACCATAAACACAGGGATGGTTTTGAATGGTTTTAAAGATTTATCATGTTGAAACATACATATTCATGGAAAAAACTTAGCCAAACATTTGCAACCATTATGATGTCATGGGGCTGCATGCAGGATACTAACAACTATTAACTAAACTCTTACCATTGGTTATTATAAATTTCCCAGATGATAAATTGGTAAAAATCATGATGTTTAATTATTTATCATTAATATTTCTGTAATACTTGTAAGTAATACCCTTTACCCACATAAGAAAATGCTGAAAAGAAAATATACCTCTACCTACCTGTGACCCAAAGCTAACTACAGCCACCTTAGTTCTAATATTTTCAAATTCTTGTCTAGCATTCTGAAGTTGCATGACATGGTCACGTCATGGTAGTCAAGCAAAATGACGTAATAATACCAGCAGTAAATTGTTTGATCCAATATTGAAGTCACTCAACGTAGTAGGGCTATAAAAGAGAACAATTCTTATCATAGGAATGTTACTTATCATTTGGACTAAGTGGATTTTGCAAATAGTGGATTTTATTAACCCTCTCTAGAAATGAGCTTTGAGGCACATTGAGGCATTGTAATTTAATCAATTGTTTGAATAACTCCTAATTAGTAAATGAAATTAATTGCAGGAGCTTGTAGCTTGAGAATTAACAGGATATGAAAACTGGCAAAAACCAATGAGCAAGGCTATTAGTACTAATAATCTTTTATGGGTGTGGTCAGTTGTTTTGCAGCATAGCTTAGTTGATCAGTTGGACAGGTACAATGGTTGTTGAACTATTCACCTTTCTGTGTCTATATTAAAGAGAGTTATATCCAGTGGCGCTGTTGAGCCAACCACGACAGGTGGACCACCAGTAACAACACCTCCATCAAGTTTCTCATCAACATTTCTCAGAAAATCATTCCAACTTTCCTCCACTTCAAATAAATTGTCAACAGTCTCACAAACATCCCTATTTTGATAACACGCTTTCCATTTTGACTCAAGTTCCTGTCGTGTCATCACATGAAGCGCATTAAAACACTTGAAATATCCCCCAATAGCTTGGCCAAGTTGTCGAACTTTGTCACTAACGAAGGTCTCCAATGATTCTTGGACATTTTGTTTTGCTTGTTCAAGTAATGAATTTAACAATGTTGATAATGTTTCAATGGCACCAAGATGGTTTAGGACTTCCTTGTGAAAATGATAATAAAATAATAATTTATACGAAAAATTTTGACAAAGTGCAAGTTTCATAGCCTGGCCATCCTGGGGGTCAAATCCTGGTTATTAGAGGTGTGCATCGGATCGGACGTTTATAATCCGAAATTGTCTAATCCGAATCCGATCTGAGTTTTGATAAAGAATTCAGATCCGATCCGAAGAATCCTTTAATAAAATAAATTTCTCATTCAACATTCAAGTGGAAATAAATAAATAAATATAAAAGCAAGAAATACATGTCAAGTTTTATTTCGAATATCGAAGTCTGATCCGACTACGAAACAACTTTATCAATCTGATGCAATCAGAAATGAATATTTATGTTCCAAAATCCGAACGAATCCGATCAGATTCGGATTGGATTTGCACACCTCTACTGGTTATATATAGGAACATTGATGTTTGAATTTAAAACTCTGCATTAACCCAGAGCAAACCTGGAATAGTTTTGATGGTGCAAATTTAGTTTCAGGGTTAGTACAGGGTCAGATTCCACCAATCACAGACTCCAATGGATACCTCTAATCTAAATGTTAGCAGCCAGTGTGGAAAGTTTGTATCGCGCTGCGGAGATATCGGCTGCACAATTTTGTTTTTTTCTATATATTCATTATTAAATGTTCGAAATCTCTGGCACGCAATTTCCAAACTTTCCAATCAAGACTCAGGGTTAGCAGTTGAGTTTGAAGTTTTAAATGTGCACCCAGGTTTAGAGGGTAGAGTTGGATGTGAAAACAGTTAAATGCCATCTTCATCATCTCGTCAACCTGCACCAACTGGCGGCAACCTGCAGTTTAGAACAACTGACTCCAGCTGCATGTCAAGTTGACTCAATGACTCGAGTAAACTTCCACAACAAATACAAAGCATGATAAGAGTACCACAGTCATTCATACCTCTTCTTCTGATATTTTCTTCTCTTCATCTGACATAATTTTGCTCTTTATTTGAATTTTATCACCATGATTTCAAATACCATACTGACCACATCTGTGCCATGCATATTCCATTACACAGGCGACACCTTTTCATACAACCTGCAAACACCTGCTTGTTTACCATCTATCCCAGCAAGCACATCGGTCGTATTGTTTCTCTTCGATCCAAGATGGCGTCTCGTTCGGGTCAGCGTGAACAACGTGCCTCCAGAAAAGTCGAAACAGACGAAGCTGAAGATGATTTAACTAAAGTAGAATACGAAACGTCGGAAGGGGTTGAAGTTATACCAACGTTTGACGGCATAGGACTTCGTGAAGACCTTTTGCGGGGCATATATGCATACGGTTTGTCAAGTTATATGCATGCTAAAATTTGAAAACTGAGTTTAATCATTTTGGGATAGTTTAATACTGTAACCGACTCATTACTCAATACATATACCTTCAAAGACATGCTATAAAATACATGCTATAAAATTGCCCAGTTACATGTTTTTTAAGTACTTTTCGCGGCTACTGTAAATTTCAACTACCAAATTAGCCCAAATACTTTTGTGACAATTGTTGCTGGAATTTCGAAACTATAGAAACACGTGCGTTATGGAATTATGTAGAGAAATGCATGGCTTTCTTTTTTTATTCTTGTCAAGGTTTTGAAAAACCATCTGCAATTCAACAGAGAGCAATCAAGCCTATTCTGAAAGGACGAGATGTAATTGCACAGTAAGTTTTAGAAAATCTTCAATTCAACAGGTACTGTAAGCCAGCAAGTTTAGAGGCTGTTGCGAATAGACACTCTCTCACAATCAATGTTTTACTTTCTTTGACCCACTACCTCACTGCACACCAGTCAATGTCTTTTCTATGGGACTGTCGACAAATACATTTTGTTCTGCTTTGCAGACTTTATACTTCGTGATTGCTTTGACCCACTACCCTAAGCTACCCCCCCCCACCACCACATTTGGGGAACAAGCCTATGAAGCAGGATAAAATGTTTGTCAACAACCCTTAATAGAAAAGCCCCATTTTCGTCAGAGTTATTCTTTAATTGTGTGCTCTTTGTTATGACTTCTGGTCTAGGACACTTGTATCTATAAGTACTCTACTCTGGTCATTATACAACAAGATTGCAAGACTAAATCTATATCACCATATGGGTCAATGACCTTCAATTACGATATTGATTGAAGTTCATTACAAAATTTTTTATAGATCGCAGTCTGGGACTGGAAAGACAGCCACTTTCTCAATTGCAGCCTTACAATGTCTAGACACACAGGTACACTAAGCTTGTTATTTCTTCTTAATCTCTTATGCATTCTTCAGAGCTCCGAATTTAAACATGTCCATTTATTTTATTTAGAGTCGAGAACCCCAAGTTCTTGTGCTGTCACCAACAAGAGAACTTGCCAACCAAATTCAAAAGGTATTAAAATTGGTTGTACATGATTATGAGTAGAATAAGTTTAGTCTAAAGAACAGTTCATTGAGTTCCTTGTTTGGCAGGTTTGTTTGGCTCTTGGTGACTACATGAACGTTCAATGCCACTCCTGTATTGGTGGTACAAGTATCGGGGAAGATATCAGGAAGTTGGATTATGGACAACATATTGTTTCAGGGACGCCTGGCAGAGTATTTGGTAACTTATGACTCAAATGTATTGCATTATGTAATGTCATGTTTTAAACATAGTTTAGAAGAGGCAATGAAACGTTTTGTCCAATGTGTTTAGATATGATTGGTCGAAGAAATCTTAGAACACGAAACATCAAAATGTTTATTTTGGATGAAGCAGATGAGATGCTCAACAAAGGTATTATTTTTGAAACATCCAAGGATGCCCCCCCCTCGTGTAATTCCCCACCTACCCTTTGTAATTCCCTACCTTGCCCCCATTGTAATTCCTCCTCCTACACCCCCCTGACACTAGTAACGTTTAACACTGGTAACTTTTAACACTGGTACTGGTAAAGCAACAATGTCCTCCCTGGAAATATACAATATACACCCCCAGGAAAATCAGCACCCCCACCACCCATTCTCTGGAAATCCCCCCCCCCCCCTCATGAAACCTATGTATATTTTGAAAAGTTTAATACAGACAACAGTAACCAATTTTGCTACAGTGATTCCTAATGCAACTTGCCAAAAAGGACATATAGAACATGGTTAAACAGCAATTATGTTTTTTGTAGGTTTCAAAGAACAGATTTATGATGTCTACAGATACCTCCCCCCTGCAACACAGGTTTGACCATCTATTATATTCAATTGCTCTAAGATTTGTATTTTTGTGATATTAAGTGAGGTAAATTGTATTTGCTCAATGGCTCTTTCATAGGTAATACTCATCAGCGCTACTTTACCTCACGAAATCCTCGAGATGACAGCACGCTTTATGACAGATCCCATACGCATCCTGGTAAAACGGTAAGTAGTTCTAACCCAGTAAACCCACTCAATGTTTTGTAAAAGGATTTTGAGTGTGAATTTTTATTCATTTATTAGACCTAACCAGAGCATTCCAATGTTTGTATCTGTGACTGCTCAACCTAAGATGCAAATTAACTGTCTGTTTTATTTTTAGTGATGAATTGACTTTAGAAGGAATCAAACAATTCTTTGTCGCTGTGGAACGAGAAGAGTGGAAGTTTGACACGTTATGTGATCTCTACGATACCCTCACCATCACACAGGCCGTCATCTTCTGTAACACCAAGCGAAAGGTACCTGTTGGTTCAGTTTACACAATGGCCTAATTTATTGAAAACACAGATCATCTCTTAAGCCAGCACTGTGCATCTGAAAGATCATTGTTCTTGACATGTTCTATTAAGCTACGGATACACGGGCAATACTTCTCTGGCGATGGCAATGCAATGGTGGTAAAATCGTTGCATTGCCGTCGCGAGAAAGAAATTGCTTGTGTATCATGCTCTGCGACGGCAACGCAAAGCTGCGCGCAATCGTTGCCGAAATTTCAAATCATTTGATTTTCGGCAATGATTGCCGAAAATTGGGAGGTGTGGTCAAGGAAGGTCAAGGTTGATGAATGACACGTTTCTTGACCAGCCAATGAAAAGCGTTATGAAAACATATATTGCAGGTGAAATATTGCAGGTGTAGCCACCTTGTGCGACGGCAACGCAATGCTGTTATCAGCCATTGCGTAACCATCGCAGCAAAAATATTGCTCGTGTATCCGAAGCTTTAGTCTTTCATTTATAAAGACAGGTTTACAGGTTTTATTGTCAAAGTTTCTGTGATCACAGTAGGAATTTTGCATAGATAAATTTTAAGTTTTGAAGGATTTGTAAGAAGTGTTTGAGGAAACTGACTGACTCGGTGTTAAACAGCGAATCAGTTCCCTCGAGCATTTCTTACAAATCCTTCAAAACTATCCAATATTCAAAATTCCTATTGTGATCACAGAAACTTTGATAGTTTAAACCAGTCTTCACATTTTGTTTAAAATATTCTACAGGTTGATTGGTTAACGGAAAAAATGCGAGAAGCCAACTTCACAGTGTCGGCTATGCATGGTGACATGCCTCAAAAAGAACGAGAAGCAATTATGAAAGAGTTTCGGGCAGGGCAAAGCCGAGTATTAATATCAACGGACGTTTGGGCTCGAGGGTTAGACGTTGCACAAGTGTCTTTGGTCATCAACTATGATTTGCCTAACAATCGTGAATTGTATATCCACAGGTAGACAACTAATAGAATAGCTTGGTTTCACCGTGGACAATTTATTAAATAACGTTATTTTACAATCCATGGTTTCATAGATAGTCATCAACCTGCAGTTATCAGAGTGAGACAATATTTTTTGAAACCGACCAATTACGATTCGTGAAAAGTACTTTTGATTTTAATTTTTTTGTAGAATTGGTCGTTCCGGGAGATTTGGTCGTAAAGGTGTCGCAATTAACTTTGTGAAATCAGACGATATTCGAATTCTCCGTGATATTGAGCAGTACTACAGTACGCAGATTGATGAAATGCCAATGAACGGTAAGATGCACTTGTCTGATTTTGAGAAGAGTGCTTCCAGTTTGATTCTACCAAACACTGCGGGTTTGCTATGGGTACTATTGTTTCCTCCTGTAGCAAGGAATGGCCCATACTGGACCTCTAGGGCGAACTGTCTAGAACTGTTAGAGTAAAATCCAGACAATGTATATAAATAAAGTTAGTGACAATAGGGAGAACATTACAACAGTCGTACACATTTAATTGATTCAAACTTGTTTCATTTTTAGTGGCTGATTTGATCTAGAGAGTGATCAGATAGAACAAACTGGAATATAAAAGTTTGGAAGCCATTCTCGCACGAAGTTTGCAATGACACTCTCTGCACGCATAAACAATTGTCAATATTTTTAACATCCAGATCTGTAAAGTTGATCTTATAAACTTTCAATGTAATTTGTAAACTCCAAACGTTTGTAGTTGTATGATACTGTACTGTTATTTTAAATAAAATAAATGTAGAAAATGATAAAAGTCTCTGTATAAGAGGAACCAAACGCAAACTATGTGTATATTTAAGACCAAACCGGGAGTAGAGCTAAGTAGTACTGAGCCTCCACCGCAAGCATCGCCTTTGATTGACGGGCAGAATTGGGTTGTGGGCAACTAACATTAGTGGCCATCTCCACCGACTTTCTAAATCCAGATGACCATGAGGAGATACCTGCGGAGGCTAGGTGTGTTCAAAATTCAGCACAAAAGAAATGGCTTTTATGACCCAGTAATCCCAGAAGTGAGGTACACGGCACGAGAGCTGTCTCCTCCGCTTAAGTATTTACAAATAACTTACATGAAGTTTCCTGTCTAAAGGTGAGCGCGCGCGGAGTGATGGGAAGATTGAAATCGCTCACTTTTCCCTCACTAGAAACTTCATGCAAGCCTCTGCGGAGGAGAGAAACACGAGAGTGGACCGCTTCAATACTGAACTTTCGTTGTGTGTATGGATGTGGTTATTATTTACAATATTTATACCGTTCTGCTATCCTTTAAATCTTATTACTTTAAAGTGGCCACCAAAGATATATGTTAAATAATAGTGGCGCCATTCCCTTTAATTATCCAAAAATGTCCTTTACTGTTCCTCAGTCATCATCATCATCATAGTCTTCGTCATCACCCTCGTCCTCAGCCTCTTCAAATGCCTCCTGCTGCGCGGCCCGCAACGCATTCTCTTCCTCGACTGTCGGGTCGTCTGCCTCGGTGATTTCGGGCCCGCTTGGGTATTCCTCTTGAGGTGTGGGTGGTGCTGGCGGACTGTAGTTCTCGGAACTGTACTTCTGACCCCAGCCAACGTACACGTTCTCGAATTTTCTAGGAAACAAGATAAGATCAGAACAGGCGCTCTCAAAGACAATGAGTGACTGGATAACAATGGAATATTTATTCCGAATGAAAAGTGACCAACCTCTCAACGGCAAAGCAATGGCCACCGGGCCACAGATTGCTATGTAAAATAGCCACAGAGTGTTGTGGCACGAGACTTGGTGCCCTGACGGCTGTCCATGCTGGGAAACCATCGATATCTGCAGATAGAATAAGACATGATTATTATTATGGGACCATCCCATAACCCCCTGATTGGTAGGCCCCCTGGCTATTCATTCTCCAAAGCTACTGACTGAATTTGTGGGGTGAATGACTAATGAATTGAACAACCTGATATCAGTGAAACAACCTTCCATGACTTCCATTGCGAGTAGATCGTTACCTAATACAGTTAACACGCGAGGGCATACTCTACCTGTATCTTCAGACAATGGAGTCAATAAGGGAGGACCAACTTCGGGTTCAGGTTCATCCGGTTCTTCTCTTTCTTCATCTTCTTCTTCCTCCTCCTCTTCTTCTTCATCTTTCTTTTGACTGGGATTGAACCAAGAACAACGGCCCTGAAGAAATATCATAATTAATACAACCACCGCCATCATCTTTCTTTTTATTCGGATTGAAGCCCGAAACAAGACAAAAACACATTACGGGACGATTTCATTAGATTATAGATAGATTATAGATTATTTAATAAGATTTTACATCGCAGCCCAAAAAGCTGAATTGCGTAAAATTTACAAAACATATAAATTAACTGTAGGTTATAAAAAGTCTATAGACACATGCATATACATATACATATACATATACACACATACAAATACTAACAGTACACATATTTTCATACATATACATTACGATCTTTAAGGTTCAAGTTAGACTTAAGTTATGAAAACAATTCATAGCAAACCTATTTCTTTAAATTATTTGACATTGCGGAAATATAAGAGTTTCTAAAACGATTGGTTCGTATAGTAGGACAATCAAACGCACGTTCTCTCCTCAGGTTGTAAGTGGGATTGTGTTTGGGTGGCAGTAGTTGATAAAGCTTGTGGTCTGGGTTGGATACTATTGTCTTGAAAAGTTTTTCACACAGTTTCTGACGCCTGTCTTTGAGAGAACTAATATTATGCTTGTTAAGATTGTTCGTATAAGATGACCCAGGAGATATAATTGAAAGCGCTCGCTTTTGAATGCGTTCAAGATCGTTACATAAATATGCAGGTAATGAGTGGTGGAATACAGGTGCACAATACTCGAGAACTGGTCTGATGCAAGTACAATAAAATTTTAAGATATGGTCAGCAGGAATGCTTGCACGCCTAAGCAAAATTAGGAAATACAAACGTTTGTTAGCTTTCTTCACGACATAGTTGACATGGTCAATCCATTCCAGTGAGTTAGACACCATGACACCCAATATCTTGGCACTGCTGACTAGCTCGAGTTCTTTGGACTTGATGATGATGGTCTTAAGCTGATGTTTCACTTTCTTAAAGTCAACTATCATTTCCTTACACTTGTCTTCGTTCAACTGGAGTTTGTTGTTTTTACTCCATTTCTCTACATCAGACACTGCACTCTGCATTTGGCTTTGGCTATTTCTTGGGACAACCTCGGTTAATGTCGTGTCGTCTACGTACTTCCACGAGTGCCCTTCGGATGGTTTAAGGTCATTGATCATGAGAAGAAATAACCATGGTCCTAATTTCGTACCCTGTGGAACTCCAGATGGAACTGCACCCCATTCGGAGAAGCAATCGTTGGACAGTTTGACGCGTTGCAGCCTGTTCGATAAAAAGTCGCATACCCAGCGAACTACACTACGTGGAACATTCAGGGAAAAGATCTTTTTAACTAGGATCCGGTGATCGATGAGATCAAATGCCTTCCTGTAGTCTAGCAACACCATCCTTACCGCTGCACCTGTCCCGTCAGTGGCAGAAGCCCATGTATGAATCATGGAAATAAGGGCATGCGTAGTAGATGATTTTGGGATAGCGCCATATTGGTTGGGATCAATGATCTCAACGACGGCAGGGCCAATATAATATTTTACGATAAAGTCCTCAGCTAGTTTTGATAGAGACGGAGTTAGCGAGATAGGTCTGATGTGCTTGGTAATTACAGTCACAGGTTTCGTCTTTGGTAGTGGTGTTACATTGGCGTACTTCCATGACAGAGGGAGGGATTGTTCAGCAAATGAACTGTTCAGGATAACACAGACTGGGTTCGCGAGAAACTCGGCATAATCTTTAAGGAGCCAGTTCGGCACGCCATCTGGACCAGAGGCTTTTCGAGGATTTAGCCTGACTAATGCTGAGTAAACTGAAGACTCATCAAGCGTTAGAACTTCCGAATCATTATCAACGGGAGGAAGACTGTCAAGTGATTGATATTCCTGCATCGGTTCTAGAAGGGCAGTATTTATAAGGTTGGCAATATCCTTATTTGACTTTCAATCAAGTCCATCAACATGTAATTGGGCGCGAATATTCTCGGTTGGTGTCGCTGGGATCATTCC